GGTTGTGCAGTTGACAATCAGCATGTATAAGGGTGCAAAGGCAATCTTGCATGTATATTGAACATGTCTGTGTCCTATAAGATTTAAAAAAAAAAATTAGATGCAATTGAACCTTCCTCCGTGCACTATTATGCATCAGTAGGATTTGAAATACACAGCTAGCAGCAGCAGAAAGTTGCCGTCTTGGGTAGGAAGGAGAGAAGCTATTGGCACCAGTAGCATAACTGGGGGGGAGGGCGCTGGCAAGTGGGGCTCCAGCTGTGGGCACCAAAATGGTAGCCCCCCTGCAAGAAATCCACATTGTGGAAGCAGCAGCAAGGACTTTGAGCCCCTGGGGCTGGTAAGACTGACATCCCTCTTCCCCTACCCCCGCCCCTTTTTTGGAAGGTTTTGCCCAGGGTGCAAAACTTGCACTGGCACTATATGTTGCAGCTGGGAAGGGAGCCTGGACCAGCCTCCCACCACTAGGGGAAGAGAGTTGTCAGGTAGAGATGGATAAGAAATGCTTGAGAGCTGCCAAAACAGCTCGAGCAGGGACCTGTTCTGCTGCTGGGACTTGGCAGCAATGTCAACTCAGCTATTTTTAAATGTTCCTGTTCAGTTCTCTTGGGCAGCTGCCAGACTCTTCCTGAGGAATGCAGCCACAGCTAGGAAGTGCCACCTTGCAGGTTACAGCTTGGCCAAACCCAAACCACCTCTGGGGCAGACACAGGACTCCACTCCAGCCCCAGGGCTTACCCCTTCCCATGGTAGGAAGGTGCATGCTCCAAACAACACTCTTGCTTAAGCCCCTCAAAAATGCTTGCAAGAATCTGTTTTGAATATCTGAATACTGACAGTGTGGGTACTTTGATACCCTTTAAATGTCTTTATCACCTCAGTACAGATCAGTAAGAGAATGCTGCTCTTGCCAATGTGCTGGAGCCAAACAGGAGGATGATGAGTGTCGGATGGCTGTAGAATGCAAATAAGCACAAGATCCACAGGTACCTAGGATCATCTTGGAGAA